AGCAGGACCTGCCTTTCCTTAACTCATACTGCCTGTGTCTGATCACCTTGTTGTCCTGACCCTCATGATGGTTGCTGGTCAAAGCCCCATCCAACCTGGTCTTGGATACTTCCAAGGATGCCTTTCTGCAAAGTAGATAGTGTTTGTAATATGAGATGAAAAACATATTTAGAAGCAAGATTAACAATGATGAGTAATGTGATCCTGAGTATTTCTGATTCCAAATTAATTAACCCAGCTTCAACCTTCCTGAAGCCCGTGTTTAACAAAAGAACAGCGTGTCAACCTACACACTAACAGTGTGGCTGCTTTCAAGGTGTGGCACTAGTAGAGCTCTGCAAATTTGATGTTGCAAAAAGATGAAAAATTGACAATACCAGCCAGCTGGGGTCTTTTGCATTCCTTTATGTTCTTGGTGGAAACTTAATTATAGAGACATATCTGATTAGGTCTTTCACTTAGAGGAGGACTTTCTGGACTTATTCTCCTTCTGGGAAGACTTTTTGGTTGCCCCATAATGATTTGTTATATAGTTCTTTAGGAAAGCAACAAAGCACTTTGCCTACATTGTCCTTCTTAGGTCAATAATATCTAATGGAATATAGAGTCAGATCCTCCTCCAGGTCAACAGTACACAGCTGTCCCAGGTGGGTAGTGATTATGTGTCATTACAACCTGATTCTTGTTCATTGTTCTGTTAATAACGAGATTTTTGTGTTCAATCCATTTCTTAATGGGCTGGTGTTACAAGTACATTGGCATTAATTGGCAACATTGTTGACAATTAATTGCAGAAAACCAAAGGTATAAAATGAACCCAAGCATAAAAACTGTAACTGCAGAAATGATCTCTATTTTAGCGCTTTGGAGGAATGCAGTGGAAAGTTTTTAGCATGAACAGCAGCAGCTATTCAGTAGAGAGATGGCTTGAAGGTCAGCCAGCTCAGCACACTGGGTCACACCAGAGAACCATCTAGCCAAAAACCTTGTTCCCAGCAGATGCCCTCAAGAGAATGAAAATCAAAGGAAATATGAACAATTATTTACAGGGTATATTTCCTGAACCTCCAGTGACTTGAAGTAGGTGCTTCCTGAACCAGAGTTTGTTATACAGAGTAATCCATTCATTCTTTGTTTTTATCCTACTGATTTTAACTTCTGATCAATAGCCCAGCTTCCTATGTGAAAGTGGCAAGTGAAACATTGTTTCCTAATCCCTTTCTCTATTAATTTTTTTTTTACATACCTTGGTCATACAATTCCATCACGAGTTTCAGATCAAGATTAATGAATCTTTGTTAACTTAATTGTTAGAAATCAGTTCTGTTCCTTTCAACATCTGCTTTTATACCAACTGCAAGATCTAAATTTTGAGTGTTAATTACCTGTTCATATCCCATTATAGTATGGCGAATAATATTGTCTTTCTTCATGTACATTGCTATACGTTTATCTATTATATTTTAGCAGTCCTTTTATCTCTCAGTCATTCAGTATAATGACCTTCTTCCAGGTGTTTCCCATTTGGTTTCTTTTCATTATTCTTTGTTACTTGTTATGCACAGGAAACTTGGTCAGTCTGATGTTCACCATCGTGTCCAAATCATTAGTCTATATACTGGACAGCCTATGTTACTTTGCGAGTCCACTCATAGTGCATTACTGCTGTGTTTTGCTTGCTATGGTTTAGATAATTATTAATTTGATGATTTCACCTTATTTCACAGCAAATTAGTTAAGAACCTTTTGTGACGGACAAAAGGTTTTTTAAAACCCAAGTACACCTTAGCAAATGCTTCTTTCATATTAATTAACAGCTTTGGACTACTCTAAAAGATTTGTGAAGCAAGTCCTCTGTTTGAAAAAGTTGTATTAATTTGCTTCCTCCTAATTTTCTTATTTCTATCCATGTGTTTTGAAGAGGATACATATTAAATTGTTAATAGATTATAGGTTAAATGGAAGAAAATGAACTGCTGTTCCTGTGACAGTATTTTGTTTCTGTGCAATGGTCTTATGGACATATTTATACCCTCTTTTGTCCTTAACAAAATGAATAGGAGTCAGTCCAGCTTTATGCTCTACCATAGACTGGTTAGTGAAATATGGCTTACTAAGAAATAACATTTGAAACTTAGATCAGTTTGACCCCTTTGTATCTTTTCCCTGTACTTGGTCATTAATGTTCAGACCATGAAGTAGGGTTTCTGCAGGTATGAATAGTACAGAACTGTGGTAAAAGAAATAAATTTCTCCTTCTAGTGTATTTTTCAAATATCAAAACTTTGAAATTTTCAAAGAAGCCCCATTTTCTTTATGAGTTTAGGGAAGTTGTAATAGTTTAGCATTTTGGCACAAATATTTCTATGCTGCAGTTTCATAACTTTGGAGTTAATAGATTTTGATGAAGTGGTGTTGGCCATTTTCCCCCTTCGATTTATTAACCTGATGAATAACTATCAGGTACATCTTCTAATTTTTACTTAAATGCAGATGCTTTTTCTTTACACTGTTATGCTACTAAAGCATTTGATTGAAGTGAGGAGACCAAATTAAAACATTAAATTGCCTAAGTGACCCACTCATTAGTTTTTGACTGCCAAATGCTCTGAAATCACATACAGTATCATAGAAAATTGTTCAACAGCCTGCTAAAAGAAGTACAGAAGAAAAAGACAGATTTGTATATTTAAATTGTCTAGATGTTTTCTGTATCTTGAGACTTTAGAGGATAGGAACAATAGATGAAGGTGTTGCAGGTATTTTCATGTTCCTTTATTTTCCGATTCTTGGGTTTAAATTCAGTGATCATTATCAAGCATTTATGATTCATCGCTACCTTCTGCTTTATTCTTAGACATTTCAGTTTCCAGACAGACAATGGTAGATTATATTGGTCCTTTTCAACTTCAGATTGCATGTGGTTCTGTCAATTATTTAAGTTTGTGCAGAATTCTTTAATATGTGTAGGATTATTCACTGTGTTATTAATAAATTTATGCTGTGCTTTGAAGACACCTTAGCCTTTTTTGGCTAAGTCTATAAAACAGAATTAGTCTTTGGACTTGATTATGAAATATTCATACTGCAAAAACACCAGGAGATCTCAATCAAATGAAAGCTGAATTGTTCTACAGATTGCAAATCCTCTAAATGAAATTCCTTTCCTTAAAGAGATTTCTGTCTAAAAGAATCTTTATTGTTACCAACTCCATCAAATTCATTACAAATGTTTCATTTACTAGAAAAGTGTACCTCAGACACCAAGTCTCTCAGTCATCCTGCTAGAATGTAAAACTTGCTATTTTGATTTATATAAAGGAGTAAATAGACAGATCAGCCCTTGTTGACTGTAAAAAGGAGTTTTAAGGAGAAAAAATAACCCTTAAATCCTTATGGGCAAGAAAAAGAAATAGACAATTCACAGAATACTCTTTATTTTTAGTAAGTTTTATGGCATTTGAACACCTGGGCATAGCACAGCTGAAGTTGGGTCATTTTGTAGTTTCCTTGCTTTTGTAAGTACTACTGAGTGCATAGATACAGCTCATATAAAAATAACCAACTTTCAACTAGAAAGTTCTCTGTAAAATATGGGACAAAAAATTTTGGTTCAGAGACAGCAAAAATGCCTAACTTCAAGATAAATATATATTTCTTTGAATCCTTCTCAGCTACCTCTCTATTAATATTATTATCTTTATAAAAGGGTGTCATGCTCAGCTGTCATGCAGAGTCCTATAGTGCAGGGCTATAAATGCCAATAAAAAGTTTTCAAGTTATGATTATTAGGTATTCTGTAAGAAACTCCTAGCTCATTTGATTACGTATTTATTAAGCATTTTTTAAGGTCATAATCATGCTCATAATCTTCATTTGGTACACTGAGATGGGGTTTCTAACATTTTCTAATCCATTTAATTGATTTTTGCCCATAAACAGTATTTCGAAATAATTTGCAGAGAAGCCCAGTTATCTTTTCTTGGGCATACTTCTGTACTTTGAGTTACTGATATAATGGTGTAAACCTCTGGAAATTATTACACAGAAAAAAACTACATATTCTGCAAGAGCATATCAACTAAGAAGTATATGTCTCTGCAGTTTCCTGAATATTTTAGTGCTGGTGGTTCTGTGCCACCTTTTAAAATTTCATGAATATTTTCTTTTCATTGTATTTCATTCCTGGTGGCATCATGCACTATTTACCTGCAGTACACAAGATGCTACATGTAAGAGCAGGCTGTGTAGTCTGTATACAAGCTCTAGGTTGGGTTTGAGCAGACCCTTTTATCAGTAGCTATATATCCAGGCTAATGCCCCTAACAATTTGCATTTGAACACATTTGATATAAGGTTATTTTCTTTTGTAACATTAAATGAGTAGATTGTAAAATATTTACATTGCCACTATTCTGAGATCTGGAAATCCTTTACTCCTAGATAGTTTCATCAACTTTACCTTTCTAGTAGAAGCATTTGAAGGAGAACTTCAAAGTTAAAATTTCAAAATTCATCAGTCTGTATAGTGATAACTCAGGAATAAGAATTTTAAATCTACTGTTAAATAATACAATGGATGAAAGCCACAATGCACAAATAAATTCTCTAATGTAGTATTTAATTAGAATATTATTTGTCTCCTTTTCTGTGATGATTTTTTGGGGAACGTAGAAGATATGTACAGACCAGATTAATTTAAACTAAGAAGACATTTTATGTCGCATTTAGAGACAGTTCGGGATATTTATGACTGAAAGCTCTTTCCTTCTTCGTAGCAGTTATTAAAATTAACATCACAAGCAAAATATCAAGTTGTAGCATTCCATTCTACATGAATGATCCTTTTTATTTCTCTACCAAATCCTGAGTTTCTTGAATACTTTCATTGCTATGATTATTCACTTCTGAGACAAACAGAGCCAGAGATGCATATTCATTACTTTTTCACTGTACTGTCATATAAACTGCTCTTACTGTTTCTCATTTATTCTGCACAGGCCCCATCATCACCTTCTTCACCCATAGCTAATGAACCAAAATATGAGAAGCGCTGGCTAGACACCTTATCAGTTCCTTTGTCGATGGCTCGAATCTCGAGGTACAAAACTGGAACAGATAAATTAAGGTTTGTAACCTAAAAGGGGATGCACTGGGTTAGTTAGCTGTACACAGTGTTTTGATGTGGACTGTTGGCTTTAGAAGAATTATTCGAGTGGAGATATGACAGTCTTATTAAAAAGTTCGTCTTCTGTGCAGTTCATCCTCTCTTAAGATTAATGGCATGCATGGAGATTACCAAAGATAAGGTAAAGATCCTACGAATACATTTCTGTAATCTGTTGTATGTATCTTGGGAATTCAGTGAGCATCCGCAACCAGTACAAAGGTTAATCTTAGCGTTAGTTGAATTAACTTTGAAGGTACTACATTTGATTCTGTATCTCTTGTAGAATGCTTCTGTATTTGCAAATTCTAATATTGTCATCTAACTCTCCTTTTTCATTATAAATGGTAACAGCATGCAGGATCATCAGGACTGTGCTATCATGTCAAATAGACATGTGTATCACTGTCATGCAGAGACTCATACTGACAAGAGATTCTGGCAAAGTACATGGTAAAAAATATTGTATTTCTGATCAGAGAATTTTTTTGCAACTCAGATACATAACTAATGGTTCCTAAAGTAGCTGTGGAATAATATGTCAAAGGTGATTTTACTGGACTTCAGGAAAGATGAAAGCAAAAGTGAAGTTTAATAAAACATCAACAACTAATATGCTTGAGAAAATTTTAACACATCGTAGCATACATAAGCTTTTTCTGCACATCATTCCATATGGTAGGAGTGCCTCAAATCTACCAGTAGTTGTGGGCCAAGTAGTCCATGTGTATCAGGAGTTCATTCACTGTTGCTATTTTCCATGTTCTTTATGTGCTGCCCTATATTTATTTGCTTTTAATACATATTAAGGAGATAATTAGCATCTCTATTGAAGCATCAACAGTACAGGTCACCTGCTACCAGGAGGTATTAGAAATTCATGTTAAAACCTTTCTTGGTTTATTTCAAATTTGTTACCTGTTTCATAAAAATTACCTGAAAATCATTATTTTCTAGTAGGACAGATTTGCTGCTTTAAGTTAGTGCAATTAATCCCCTAAATCACTTGGCAACTCCTTTCCCAGACTTTGTGTTAAAACATCACAGGTGAATAATAATAAATTGTCCAGAAAAGTTTTAGGATCTTCCACAGACTTTGTTTGAACTCTTAATTCTCTTTTATTTAGTCTCTCATCACTTTCTCCATCACTTTCTTCCTCCCCTTCAACTGACCAGTTCATGTTGTCCAGCCTTTTCCAATCCATCCCAACCATTCAAGGCTTAGAAGTTCTCCTGTGAATTAAATGAACAAATCTCAGTGTGTACATTTAGACATCAACTCATCGTCAACTTAATATTCTAAAATGTAAAGGATAAGTGAAAGCAGATAGAACATTTAAACCTCTGACTTCAGTTATCACCCTGACAGTTTGAAGCAGTTTCATTCCTGTGCTGTGCACTTCACACATTAGATGGAGAAATCCCAAGGGATTTTAGTTTGCAAAACAGTAGCATGTGCCTTTTGAGAATTCTTTGAAGTAAAACACCTTCAGATATTGTACTGGGTCTGGCTGAGATGAGCGAATTTTCTTCACAGTAGTCTATATGGTGCTCTGTTTTGGTTTGTGACTTAAGCAATTTTAATAGCATACAAGTATTTTGGTTCTTGCTGAGAAGTGTTCGTGCACCATCAAGGCCTTCTCTTTTTCTTGCTCTGCTCCCACTCAGTGAAGAGGCCAAGGGGTAGGCAAGAAGTTGAGAGGAGGTGCAACCAGGGCCAGTGACCCAAACTGACCAGAGGAATATTCCATACCACATGACATCATTGCTCAGCAATAAAAACAGAGCAGAGGGGGCTTGAGGGGAGCTAGCCTTTGCTTTGGAGGCTGACAGGACATCATTCTGCTTGTGAGATGTGGTGAGTGGTCGCCTTTGCATCCCTTGTTTTATTGTGGCTTGGTTTGTTGGGAGTTTTTCCTCTTCCCTTTGCTCATTAAACAGTCTTTATTTCAACTCATGAGTTTTTTTGTTCTTCATATTCTCTGTGCTGCACCTCTGGAGAAGGGTGGTGAAGTGAGTGGCAGTGGCTTGGCTGCTTGGCTGCTGGCCCAGGATTGAGCACTCACAGATACATTTTTCTTGGAAGAATTGAGGAGCTTAATGCTTTCAGTTTCAATCTTGCAGAGACATATTCTCTTGTGATGCATCTCATTCCCATGTATGTTTAGTATACATACCACTCCTTAATTACTGGTGGATTTTTTTTTCATTTTTGTTGCATAAACTCTGAAGGAAGATGAAATAATTCCATAGAGCTTATAGCCATCCCATGATACTTTACTTCTAGTAAGTGGTCCTTGCATATTTTGGTAAACCAACAGAAACACCTATATGAGTATTAAAGTAATATTGCCTTGAAATTGACAGTGGATGAGGTACCTCCCATGTTCTTAATAAAAGTGCTTATTTTTGCCTGAGGGATACCAAACTACTCTTATCATATACTCTCCTCCTCTGAAATGCATGTACATATTTTTACTCTTATCCCACTTGTATCCTTTGTTTTGCATTTCCCCATGTTCATATAACTTCCAACATTTGTCTTCAGTAATTGCTCACTAAAATCAAATATCTGCTTTGCATGAAACAAAACTTATGATCAGTCTAAATAACAATCCTGCTTTCAGCCATATCTACGCATCTCTGTTCCCTTTCACATTTCAGCCATCAGTCTAAAGTCTGGAGTGAGTCCATCATTTCTTTGAACTTACCACAGATCCTTCTGACCAATTTGATAATTTTTCCATACTCTGAATATTTACTTTAAGCCTATTTGCATACAATCTTTGACAGCATGCTTGTTTTTTTCTGTATTATACAAGTCCATGAGTCTGTCATGCTTTTAACTTTTTGTCTTTCGCGTGTTCTTGTCATAACTTTGTTTTGTTGCAATGCTTCATTATATTTTATCCACAAAGTTACCTCAATTGGTCTTGCAGAGGTCTCCTGGCATCAGAACAGCCAGATTACTTTTGAAGTCAGTGTTATTGAGTGTTGGAACTATAATATGTAGTGTCACATACACAACTGTGTGCTTTCTGCTCAGCTAGATGGACTGTATAAAAGGTCTTTTCCCCTACTTCTTACCAGAATTAAATTCAGAGAGGGCTGGATAATTCTTTCCATCAAGTATTGCCTACAGGCCTTTGGTTTTTGGCATTGCTTTTTAACTATGAAAAATATTATGGCTTATGAAAGGTTATTGAAGCCTCTCTGTCCACAATGCACACTCAGCGTTCTTCAATTCCTCTTTTCCTCGATATGAAAGTGTCTTTTGCACCCGTGGAATTCTTACAATTGGCTACAGCAGAACTTTCTATACTTTTGTCACTATACTCAATCCCAGACTGATTTTTAAAAATGTATAGTATTTTATTGTATATGCTGTGTATACTATTTGTAAATGAGAATCCAGGTACTCCTGCTGTTCTGATGAGGTAACTGCCATCAGCCAGTCTGGGTGGCTCCTGTGACCTCATTCACTTTACTTCTGCAAACAATCTTCAAGATTTTTCATATTTTCAGCATTCTTTTTCTTTAAATAACTCACAGATAACCTTAGGAACAAGAAAAAAGATTGTCTGTCATAAGGTCAGACAGAGTCTGATATTTTTCCTGAATACCATCTTTTTGTTACCTTTATTTAAAGAAAACAACAACAAAACAAACAAACAAACAACTAAGTATGGCAATGTCAGCATCTTGCTCAATATTCATTTTTCAATTAGAAATATCTTATATAGCTAGAGTTGTCTGTTAGACTGTAGTATACTTTTAGTGTGCCTTAGATCAAATCTATTCTAATCTAGTCAGATTTGGTTGGATTGTTTCCTTTGGGGTAAACTGTGCACTTTAAATTCTTCTATACTCCATATGAGTTTTCTGGTAACATTGGTAAAGAAGGGCACATTTTCAGCATACTCTTGTGTCATGACATGGCCAGGATCACATGTATCTGTTTGATGGTTGTTTGGTTTTTTTTTAATTTGAAGAGGAAGGAGTTGCCTTTGGCTTTTCATTACACTTGAATTTTTATTGGGTTTTTTTTTGAGGAAGTCTTTAGATTGGTGATTTAATGACACAGGAGCATGTTTTTCTATATGTTTTAGATTCCGTCAGCACCATACATATTAAGAGAAACAAGAGAGAATGGAATATATTTTTTCCTTCTCATAAAGGAATGACTGAAAATACTGCAGAGTGTGACTGTCGAGTATGTTTGTCCACACCACAAAACAAAAGCAAAAAAATTCCCCAGAATATTTTAAAGGAAAGTTAAGAAATGTAATAGATGCCATTCATTTTCTCAATGGAAGACTAAACATTGTATTAACTAGTGAAATCACCTTGAATTAGTGTATGTCACGTTATTGATATGATTGGAGTCTATCTCATATTTATATCCACTAGACTGATTAATCTTTTTGATTATTTAGCAATTTAATAATTTTTTTGATTCAATTGCCTTTATAATATAGCATTACTACTTCTATTATTCTACACTTCTCACCAATCCATTAATGTAGTTTTTCTCTGTAAGAAGCAAGGTAATATATACAGTGGGAATGCTGTTGCTCTGAATATGCTTAATTGGTGGTTGTTAATGGAAGTATTTTTTGCATGTTGAGGATAGAGTTGGTCAATGTCTGGTGTAAATTTAACAGAGAAATAATGAGATCAGTAGGTCTTTCTCAGCCAAAAGAGTTTGTAGTTCATAGTAAGTTTTGTGAGATATAGAAGTAAAGATAAGTAGTCTTATAGAAAGTGGAAAATGTAGTTCATTCATTGTAGTTCATGTAGAACTCAAATGATGTAATTCATCATTTCAGTTTTCTTATGAAATGTCTAAATTGTTATTTGGGAAACAATTTTGGGAACTTGTTATTTGGGAAAATGTAGATAAGTCTTTTTAGTCCTTACAGAAGATACTGGTAGTACTTTGTATAGTAATTTGTATACACTGTATTGACTGGAGCTTCGAGTGAAGGTACAGTAAGTATAAGCTCTTGAATATTATGAGTTTAGACACTGAAGAAAAAATGCTTATTTAGAATATGGAAAAGTGAAAAAGTGAGTGGAAGTGATTCAGGTCCAGTATCAATGAGCCCATGTAGCTATGATCCCCATACAAAATAACTTAATTAGATTTAGGAGTTGTTTTCTATTCCTTGTTATTCTGGCCACTGAAATTACTACAGAGTATTGTGCAGTTGATTTATTTTTTTAAAGTACTCACTGTTTTTTAACAGAAGCTTTCTGAAGGATTGTATTTTCCATTTAACATTTTAGTAAGGTAACAAAATGTCTTAATTAGGTAAATAAATTGAAAACTAACAAGTGGAATAAACCATTTTGAGACAGATCTAGGAATTAAACATAATCTGAGTTACAAAACCTGAATGAGTACTTACTCACAGTTTTTTTGGCATATTAGTAGAAGCATAATGTCTATGTTACTTCAGTTATCTTATTCGATTGCTCTAAGTGTAATAAAAATAAACAGAAGTTACAATGCTGGAAGCAAAATGTTCCCCAAAAAAACTAAAACCATAAAATGTAATCCGAGTTTATGATTAAGGCTTTGATATATTTTTAGCTACATAGTTTCTGTTAATAGTCCACATATATGAGCAAATTTGAATATTTTTCAAGGTATGAAACTATATTCTAGCAGGTTTGGGGGGTGAACCTGCTGGAAGACCTCCGAGGCACATCTTGCATTGGGGGACGGGACACACACACAAGATCTGTGACCCACAAAATGGCAGTTTATTAACACAAGATCAGAGTTTATATACAGGGGGATACAGAAGGTTCTGGTACAGAGGTGGGTTGGTGGTTTGAACCCTCGAATCTCGAGGATTTCTGATAAGGAGGTTTGAAGATATTGGTTAGGAGGATATGTCTATTCATTCAGGGGGAAGGGATAGCCAGGAAAGAAGGGGAGGAAGGGAAGGTGTGGTCTTTGGGGGCCCAGGAGAGGGAAATCCTGCAGAGGTCTGTAAGGCTGGGGCCAGCCTGACCCCTTGCAGCTGGCCCCCAGGCAGTTCCGGGCAGCTGTTGTTGCCAGAAGCTCGATTCTCTGCAGGCTTCTTCTGATACCACCTCCTACACTATATGACATTTACAATATAAAATCCTATTATTTTTAACATGACATTTCAAAGATATTAAGTCATTCAGATAATTCTTTATAGAGAATTTCCACTCAGATCCACCCATAGTCCATAAAATTTCAGTTTAAATATAAATTCTAGCAAGAGGGTCATATAGTACCATAAACAAACCACGAAAAAATGGTGGAACAAAAGAAATAATAACTCAACTCAGACATCAAAGAAATCATACAAACAGGAAAGAATACTGATTTAAGACCTGGGAAGATGCAAAGTAGATCAAATCTATCTGTCTGTATCAGCATGGTAGTAAACTTCAGGTAAAACAGCTGCTGTCAGACATGCATCTAGGTTTTTATAGGGGAAACACAATAAAATAGCTATATAAGTCTAATGGAGAGATGGTTTCACATGCCACAGATACTGAGAAATCTAAAAATATGTTTTGCTGAAATTCTTAGCCTCCAGTAAAGTAAAAATTCAGTTTTGCCATTTCATCTGGCGCTGAAAATACATTTTATCTTAGAACAATCTTTTAACACCTCTAAAGTATCTAACTACTTGTATGGCAAAATACACTTTATTAATATTAATTAACATATTTGTTTAAAAGTGTCAATGTCAAAAAGATAGCATGAAGTCTGCCAATACTCATCTGTTATTCTGTCTGCCAATCTCACAAAGAGAGTGTTTATTTTATTAAAAGAAATTACTGCCATAAACAAACTCCCAGAAGACACCTGGAATGCAGGTCCATTCATCATTTCACCACGAAAATGAGATAGTAACAGTCTGCGTATGGAAAACAGTGCCTCGTGCTCCTTGGCAGAAATGCTTAAGGGAAACAAAGTTACAGATTGAGAGACAAATCTGAAATCAAGATATGTGAGGGTAATTTGACACAAACTTCTGGAATTTAGGAAATGGAAATATACATTTCTGATTAAAGTTGCAGTAGTCAGTACCACAACTGTTGTAATGGAAGAGATGGCAAATTCCTCTGACTGTGTTTTAAAATGGTCTTTAAAATGGTAGCCTCAGAAAAAAACCCACACACAAAAAATAAACAAAACAAACAAAAACAAGCAAACAAACAAACAAAACAAACAAACAAAAACCTAAACCAAAACTACAGAAACTTTATAGCATCTTGAGACCTCTCAAACTTACTATTTGGTGTTAACTGGAAAGTACTCCCCATCCGCTAATAGGAATAGGTGCTTTGCTCTGCCTCTTTTTTTGTTGTTGTTTTTCTTTTCTGTATTTTTAGGAGATGGCATTTAAGCCTCTCAGATTTATTTTCTCCTGAATTCCAGTGCTATCTCAGTGCTTGAATTGATTGTTTCACTTAAAAGCCTCAGCATTCCTTTTGGTAAACTTTTATTTTTAGTTTGAATATTTGTTTTTACTTGTAGCGTTCTATACACTATGCTTTTCAGAACAATATCAATATATTATGGGATCTTCAGAGGGAAATTAGTGAAACTGAAGGCAAGAAATAATCATAGTAAAGTTGATTAAAGTTGAGAGTAAAATCAGTGCGTTACTAGCACAGACTTCATGTCTGGCATATTTTACTTCGAAAAGCCTTAGCTCTTTCATTTTCTATGTCATTTAATGCGCTAAAGTGCTCTCAGGTAAAACTACCTTCCTACCCAAGTCTGTGCAGTAGGGAGAGCAGTGCCCCAAAGGTCTCAGTCCCATGTGCCAGGCAACATGAGCACCGCTGGTACATCAGATGCCTTGAAGCAAACCGAGATCCCGGGGAAGGATGTCCTGGTGTCAGTATGCTGGAGCAAAGGAAGAGCTCTGTGGAAAGGGCTTGGGATCTTGGTGGACACCCGTTGGAGCAGGAGTCAGCTGAGCACACGTTCAGTGATAAAGCCCCATCCAAGGATTGTCCTCTCACTGTGTAAGGATTCTACCATCTTAGCTTTGATATTTGAATTGGATATCTAAGCTGGGGATTGTGAGTGCCTTCTCTTCAGAGTGCCAAATTAAGTCTGTTTCCAGCTTCCTCTGTGTATCAATGCATAGGGATTTTCACTGTCTCAGTGGGATGCTGACAAGATCATATCATAAGTCATTTCATTACAACGCTGTTGGGGATCTTTGTCAGAGCCTTAGGTAAAAGAAACAATGTGCTTGAGAGGTGATTGACTCAGTTTACTTGAAGACAATAAAATGATTTGTTTTGACCTTTTCTTTCTTTCTGAGGAGGTGAAACAGATTTATTAAATGAAAGTGACAGAACTGTGCCATTGCCATCAGGTTTTAGTAGTTACCATGATAATTCAATCATGAAAGTAAAACAAGAAATCAGCTGATATATATTTAAGTCTTCAGGCCAAGCACTTAATTTTTGCAAAAAGCAAGTATAATGCTTTATGACTCTTTTAACAGTAAACCCTGTCATATAGATCTATTCAGATACTTTTTCTTATTAAGATTGTATGTGATGTTACCTTTTTTGGCAAGTAATAGAGTTCAATATTCCCGTTCACCATCGAAATCCTTACAAATGACAAAAGTTCATTAAATAACTTTTTCACTAAGTCCTGAATGAATAACTGCTTGTGAACTTCTGTGTGTCATTTTGAATTATTATGTTGACATATATCACAGATTAAGCAGTAGAGGACTCCACTTTAGATCAGAGAACCCTAGGAAAACTCATCAACTTCATAGAGCAGTATTCTGGATTCAGTAGTCGGCTTTCTTCTAAGTTAGTACCAAAAATGAAGCAATGCAGCTATAAGTATAAATATCTAATTGTGTAAGTGTAGAAGGTACCAGTGATATTCTCCATATTGTATACACAACAAACATAGACAATCATTCAGATAATTGTACTTGTCTTTCACAATAGCATATGACTAAAATGTAATTCTCCTGACAGTCATAGGCATTTAAATAATTTATTAATCTTTCTGAAGTTCAATTATTGCAACTTTTTTACACTTGGATCAGTGTACTTCCATGCAACTACTTAATGAGCTGTTGTTGTTCCTATTGAAAAATCTTGTGGTAAAAAAAGCATATCCCAACCAAATGCAGAGGGTTTCAGAGGTACATAGCTTACTGCAGATAGTAATGAAGTCATTGGCAGTTGCAGAATAAAGATGCTATAAACATGTAAAAGTTGCATTAAAAGTTAATAAAATGCAATTGCGCATTCCCATGTGTCAATGCTGTTTTGAGAAATTTGTTTAACAAAAAGAATTTAAAGAAACTTCTAAAAACAATTTTCAAATTCCCATGTCATAAAAGAGCCTAAAGAAAACATTGCCTTCAATGATATGTAGAAAAATACTAGAAACCAAGAAATGAATGTTAGGAAGACAGTTCTTTGCATTTTTGTACATTCCTAGTAAATGAAGCTAAAATGCAAGGAAGAAAATTGGCAATTCAGTTTTTAAAAAAATTTATGTTTGTTCAGAAAGATCTAATGCATACTTTCTGAATCCACTACCTTAAGTTCGGCAACTATGGACATAATATGTATACTCAGGGGAAGTAAATGATCATCAGCACATGCATGCTGGTACAGAGAAAGTACTTATTGTATCTGTTGTTCCTGCTACTGCCCATTCTTATGCTTCTTTTTGTTGCCTTTCTTTTGATTTGTAAAGTAAACACTCAAAACTTGTCAAAAGGCATAAAAATCACTTGAACACTGATATATATTGGGCAATTTCAGAAAACTGATGTATCTTCCTTTATGGATATTTCTTCTTACTGCAGATCTAATGCATTTGAAGTGCTGGCACTTGATGGAGTTAGTACTGGGATACTTCAGTTTTATACAGCCCAGGAGAGTGCTGACTGGCTGAGAGCAATGTCAACTAACATCAGTGATTTGACACTTCAAAATGTATGTTACTTTCTGCATATTTTCTTGTCTGTGCTATTGTAAAATTATTTCTAGTTTTCAAGGGTGGAAAACAATTCACATTTAAGAGACAACATATACAATGCTTGTGTATGAGGAGAAAAAGGAGAAAGGAAAAAGCAGGGGGAGATTGTCTGATCAAAACTCTCATGAAGTTCCCAGGATTTGCAGTGTTATCATAGAAGAGAGAGTAGTAGAACAACATTGCATTTATTATTTTAAAGATTTTTTGGCAAAATATTTATCCATAGTGGTAATTTCACAGAGCTTTAGACATGATCAAATATATAATTTTTACATTTTTATAATTAAACTGTGCTTGAGATTAACATTTGTTGATTTTGAAGTAGGCCTGTGAAAATTCCACAGCTAGTGAAGGGTGATTTACAGATGCTTATTGGGAGACATTATTTTTACCTCCCTAAGTTGTCTAAGAGTTGATTTATTTAAGGTCATATTATTCCATCTTTCTCCTTTCTCCCTAGAAGTATAAAGGTGCTTATGCTATTTTAAGTTATTCCTGTAAATTAATAAGTAACATTTGCTGTTGCAAGCAGAAGTATTATCTAATCCCAGGTGAAATAGAAAATTGCTATTTGGACAGCACATTATTATTCCAACAAAGAGCAGATAAAACTATTGAGGATTTTGGAATGAACCGTAAAGTTAAATAGGGAACTCGATAATGTACAATATTGAAAATATATTTGCCTTTAAGAAATGGTAAAAATCAGTGTTGAAAATATAAAAATAAAAGCACTGTTATCACTGAAAGAATTGCCTGTACAGGTTTTAATATTTTTTTCTTAAATGTGTTGAATCTGTAACATCTTTTATAAATGAAAATTTAGTAGCATGATTTTAATTTATGCTTTGTACTCTAGATGAACTGTTTCTTAGTTCTTCAGATTATATTGTGTAGAATTTTGCGTATCGGATTTCAACGTAAATCTTTGGTTAAAAGAGATTTAAAATTAAATTTATTTTCTAGTGGTCAAAAGTTCCATGGAATCCTATTTAATCACAATAGTTCATTTATTCCATTAAATCTTTTAAAATATTCAATTGCTTAAGCAATCTATTTGACAATATCATTTTTGCTTATGATACATTCTTTATAAATAATCTCTATTTAGTGATTTACATCATGTGCACAGTAATATTATTTTACAATTCTAAGAAAGTGCATATTAATATTTTTAGAGCAATTCCAGTTCATAGTTACTAAGTTCAGTTTTCTTTTTAATGAAATCAATTGAATAAAAGCCAGTGCAAGGATGTAAGTGAATAAGACAATAAAAAGTGGCTATAAGTACAAGCAGCTTTTATTATCATAGCATGCTAGTCTGTTTTTTTTCAAAGGCACTATGTGCAGTAGTACATGTCCTGACATAGTATCTTCACTGTGCTGGGACCTGTCTGAGTAGTTTCATTGGTCTTCTCCCTTATCTGTTACAATAGTGGATTTTGTAAACGACGTAGTCCGTCTGGTTGTAATATAAATGTTCCTAGGAAAGGTTTGAGAAATACCGGTCATGAATGTCATGAACAGATGAATTCCCATTTTTTCTGTGGTTTTGGTGAGTTACAGAGTAAACTCTATGTTATAGAGTAAACTCTATGTAGATCAGATGAGAAGCACATAAACTTTGTGCTTGGACTTAATGGACTTTGTTAGGTGTGCTACAACCAGAAAGGTCCGGCCAGAGCATTATTTTGATTACTGAGTATCAGAACAGGAGATATAATAATCAGTGAGAATCCCTTTTATGGCAAACCACTTTTAAGATGAGGATCGTGAGACTGGAGTGCAGCAGTTTACAGCAGGAGAGCACTGGAGAGAGCTTGCTGCTTCAGGGCAGCCAGAGGACACAGACCACTGTCCACAGTGCTTAGGGCACTGTATCAGGCTTCTTGAAAGTCCATTTTGAATGCTTTTTATTACCTTAGTACTACCATTTCACAGAATCCTTCTTTTCTTGTCATACCTCAGAAATTGACATTGGGGAATGGATATGTGGTTCCTTTAGACCTCTTCACCATTTCTGCACTTTTCCACTTCTATAGAATGTCTCTCCAATTCTCCAATTCTCAAGATAATCACTACTCATTCAGAAATCCAGATACTTCTTTATCTAGTTATGGGTTATTTTCATGAGTCCTTGCTGACTCTAAATTTAGTCACTTCTCCAGGTATTTAAATTAGTCATTTCTGTTCTGTTCTATGCCATCATCTCTGTATGGAAATTAATTACTAGATACATAGTGACAATGGATCTTCTTGATGATACATTTGGCATGATGTCAACATTCTTACCTGACCTATTACTAAGTTTTGAAGCAATATTATCCACTGTTCACATTTTACTTCCACACATTTTAGATTTTGTTTTGCTGATACTTGTTTCATGACTTTAGCAAGCTTTCCTGCACCTCAGTCCTTCTTATTTAATCTGCGCGTATTCATGCTACTCTTATATGCATCCTTTGTCCTACGTATTTGCATAAATTTTTGAATAATTTCTTTTAGAATTTTAGTTCTTAAAGAGCTCCTAATACAGATTTTTTTCTTACAGTGCACACAATCTTTCCTGTATCATTTTATCCTAATATACTTCAGTTTTTTTTATTTTACCCTAATACAGTTTCGTTCAGCAACTGGCAGCTCTTTGTTAGATCTTCTGCTGATGCCAGAAGACAGTCCTGTTGTAGGTAGTACAAAAATAGCTCTTCCACAATGTGACACTTCTGCTAATGTCAGACTACTCTTTTGAAGTACTGAAACATCTAACTTCTATACAAAGGCAAGCTCTCTGGGGATCAAGTGTAAAGGAGGAGTCATCTTCAACAGTGAAGATGTGAGGAGTTGTCACTGCATAAGGCTTCTGCCCCTGTATGTTAGCATATTTAGAAAGTGGTACTTGGTAGATGAGAACTAATGATTCTGGTACCAGCCTGGACAGAGTTAGTTCTTAGATGACAGAGGAGCACAGGAAGTACTGCAACATGGAGAAAAATGTAAGGGTATCTGTTCAGCCCTCCTTACTGATACATGCTTTGTATGCTTAGCTCAGAAAATCTCCTAGTAACAATTTGCTTTGCAAGCAGCATGCATTACATTTTTTTTCTGAGGACCCTTGCTCCGAATTATTCATCTCTCTGTTCATATTCTATTTTTTTCACATACTTTTCTACCACCATGAAACTACCCTGTCATCTTCCTTTGTGATTCAATCCCCAGTTTCAATGTTCTCAAAGTTCTTCCCATTTACGTTTTGCAGAAATAAATAGAGGTGAATCAGCATCTCAGATTTATTTCTTCATACATTTCTTTGCTCACAGAAGGAGGTGCAGTTGAAGAAACTGAGGGAAGAGAGGTAACAGAAACTGTCAGTGAATATTCCATGATGAAACAAGAAGCACATGAAACAAGTTAATCTGCATGTGCTTCTCACTGCTGCTGTTCTTAATTTCTTTAGATGGAGGGTTCTTTGTAGGCTGAAGTGACAATTTGTGATAGAGATGATTTTTTAGGAGAGTTTTTTGGGATAGTTTATATTTCTCTCCCTATTTTGCAGCATTCAAATTGCTAGCTATTAGATATGTGCAGCTTTTTTCTTTGAAATTTGACACCAAACATTAATGTAGTTATAATGGGTAGAAGCACCTAAAGTTAATGCTGCCAGTTCATCTACATTATAGAGACTTATTTCTTATATTTATAACTTTCTCAAGGATTTATATTTTTCCCAGCATATTCTAGTCATTGTATTTAAAAAAAAAAATTCATAAATAAATGAGTAGTTTATAAGCAGATAAGAGAAAAAGTTATGATGCACTTGTTCCACTTTAAAAATTATTTATGGTTTTTATAAATCATTCAAGCAATTTCATTGAAGGATTGTAGAAACTTAAAATTTGGCCTCAAAATAGATTTATTAATCCAGATCGTATTTATGCCTTTTACAGCTTTTTTTGTCATTTAACTTATACTGTGCAAACCTTTTCTTCTATTCCTTCGTCTAAAAACATATCTGAGTGATATTCTGTATTGCAGTTGAGTTAATAGTAGTTAATTACTATTATAGCTAGTTAAAAAAATAGGTGCCTGTCAAGATTCTTCACTCTCTTCACTCTCACTGTTGTCTGGAAAGAGAATATAGGTATATTATATGTGAGATAAATCCCAGCCTGGGAGGTATTTAGATTTAGTTAAACGATTCTGAACTATTTCATCCCCAATCTGTTCCTGTCCTGTATGTATCCATTCAGAACAGAGTATAGGAATTAAAATTTGTTTAATAGTTCCTTTTCAAAGTTCCCTGCAGTCTTTGCAGATCCAGGTTTTTTGTTTTAGTTCCCCTGCTGTCTTCAGCTCCCGTTACTGCACTGTAGTGCTGAGAGCCTATGCACTGCCAGCAAGGTAAGTGTATCCCATTCCTGTCTCCCTGCACCAGCGGTGGAGGCATATAGAGAACATTTGGTGCCTGGTGAAGTGGAGAGTACATACTTCTCAGCCCCATGTCATAGGGACATAATATGATATAGAAGATCTTTCCTCTCCCCATAGTTACATCAGGGCTGCAGCCATCCCTGCTTTGAACAGGGAGTGAGCTAAGACTGTGCAGTGAATAGCTGTGGAGTCCAATGCATTATTCCCTCTTGCCCTTACCAATGGGAAGCTGAGCTGCTTATGAGAGTGCACTTCACAATACTCTACCCTCATTTTGCAGAAAAACCTCCATGGCCAGTCTCACACACTTTTTTCCAGGCCCATCTGAACCTATTTATTTGCACTGATTTGTGCTATAGTAATCAGCATGGTTTTGGATACTTGCAAGGAAACTATGTTTTCTGTGTGTGTAACATGGCTTCCATATAGTTACTTTGTGTATGTATTTTTGTCTGAAGCACAGAGATAGGTTGGGGCAGAATATGGGCAGGGTGTGTCAGCATTGCTACTGACATTAAAATATTCTAGGTGCCTTTTCATTATGTCCTGCACAACTGCTCTAGCAGAATTAAGCCTACCAACGAATCAGACTGGTGAGATCTGCTTCCTTCTGTGACACCATTTTGTTTTAACCAAGTTACAGAGTGAGTTTCTTGAGTTCCCAGTGGTTTGTAACTCACAGGACCCCGATGGCATCAAGAATCTCTGCCGCCTCTTCCCCCCATCTCAGTGCTGCAGCCCCCTCTGGCATAGTGCCGCCATGCAGCCTTGGGTCAGGCTGTGGTAAGGCACATCTCTGTGCATGACCTGGAAGGAACTTTGCTAGGGCCCCTTGTTCTGCTTAGTAACTGAATTTTAGTTCCACCCTCATCTTCAGTCCATGCTTGTGCTATGCTGCAGGTGCCAGCAACTTCTGGCTGTGACCTGCCTCTGTTGTGGTAGCCCCTACTCTAGGGTGGCAGGGAGGTAGTATGCACCATGGTAGGGCCACTCCAAGGGCCTGACAGGATCTTCCAACACACAACCCGAGGTGACAGCCAGGTCTGGCAGATGCCCCAGGCTCCCACTATCTTGGCCACCTCATCCTCAGACCCTCAGTCACTCCCCTAGGTTTCTTCTGCTCGTTTCCTGTGGCAGTCATACTTTTCCATGTGTACAGGTTTTGGTTTTCTTATCACAAGCCTTTCATTTCTTCTAAAACAGGCTTTTTGACAACAAGGTCCTTTGGAAGTACTCATCAACTCTAGGACAATTTTCAGCTTACTCATTGTATATAGGGGAGTCTGTTTTTCTAGTCTAATCTATTTCTTTCTAGATTCTTATTTACACTTACCAATATTGCACTTTATAGTGTTACATTTTAAAGAAGGGAATATATGTCAGGGTTTGTCTACCACTCATCTATGCAAACTATGACTGCCAAAGCCAAAATGAACAAAACTCTTCATTACCTAAACAAAGAGAAAAAGAGAGAGAGATGTAACTTTGGAGCAAACTAAATGGAAAACCCATACTATTTTACTTTCATCTTTCAACACATCTTAGACTCTATTGTCTTCGTTTCGCAAGTACTTAATCACAGACCTCATTTGTAAATCTGCTTAAGCAATTGTTTGTCTGAGTGAGGTGTCTACAGTACAGTACAATATTTTCGCTCAGTGTGGCAAAGTTAAAGTCATACATGCAAATCTTTATGAAGGATTTAATGAAAACTCTGATGAAAGGCTTTTGTCTTTCAAATCTTGTTTTTCAAAATTCAGTATAATAGTAAAACTCTAGTATTTAAGCACTGAATGATTAAATTTCTAACAAATATAATTTTGAACTATTAATACTATATTCCATAACTAAGTCAATCAATGCTAATTGCATCACAGAAACTCTTCAACATATAAATAACTCTGTGTGTTCTTCCATCTCTGTCATAGATCAAAATGGCAAATAAATGCTGTTCTCCCTCAGACCAGGTAAGACTTCTATTATATTATCCTTTTTTTTTTTATTATTCTCATGATTACCTTGTTGGAAAATTTGTAGAGGTTGCATATGCATATCTAGTCAGTTTTAAAATTCTAAAACTATGGTTTGAAATTCTGAAATTGCTTATGCAATACAACAGATTATTACTATTCTTACTAATCCACAGTTATGAGTAGAATCTTTCACTGTAAACCTAAAAACTGGATTATATGGAGCCATGAAATACATGAGAGGGGAACAGTGGAACTCCCAACCAGGTCTTGGAAAGTGTAGTGTATGTTTGCATGCAACACTGCAATAGTGGGTCTGATAACTCTCAATTTGCATCATGTACACTGATAGCCAAGGAGCGAATTCCATCCAATCTGTTTGACATGTATCAGGCTGTGCAGACAGTGTTTGTTCATCTGTGATTTTTGGAGTTCAGAAGCCTGTTTATATATTTCTTCTACACCAACTAGACAAATGTCCCAAAATCAGATTAATTTACTTCTCTGGAAAGCATTCTTACTTCCTGTAGCATAGCTTTTTCCAGGCTAATTAATTAATTCTGGAAAGTACTCTGAAGTTTGCATTATAAAACTAATGAGTTTCACTTACATCTGCTTTCATTGCATCAATCTGGCATTATTACTCAAGAACACAGAGACTAATACTGGCTGTTTTCAAAAATGCTGAGTTTGTAGATTATAGAAGTGAAAAATAGAGAAGGTGTCTTTTATAGCATTTTACTGAAGAAATCAGTTATGGAATTTTTATTATAGAAGTCAAAGACTGAGTCAAAAAATTCTTCATATCAGGATCAAATAAATATTTATTAGTTTGATATATTGAATACTCTTTCACATGTCACTATTTCATCATCTTATTTGTACAAAGTACTTGGACATATAAAGGCTTTTCCAGAAGTTATTAAAATATTTAGGCATTGACATTTTCTTACACAGGAAACTTTCTCATATTTGGGTTAATCCTTTGAAAAAATATACTTCAAAACCCATAACAGACTTCAATTCTATGTATAGTAGATAATCAAGTTATCCCTAAAACCAAAATAAATACCTATTCTATATAAGAATTTAGCATTTAGTCTTCACTGACAATCTCTCTTCTGACACCATGCAAGAGGATGGACTGCAAGGTGGGGAATGGGAGAGCAAAGTCCCCTCCACTGTAAGGAAGGATCAGGTTCATGACCACTTGAGGAAACTGAACATACATAAGTCTACAGGACCTTAGGGGGTGCATCCCAGAGTCCTTAGAGAACTGGCTGATTTAGTTGCCAAATCACTCTCCATGATATCTGAAATTTCATGGCAGTAGGGTGGAGTCCCAGGTGACTGAAGAAGGGAAACATTGCACCGATTTTTAAGCAGGATATAAAGGAGGAACCCAGGAACTACCTACATGTCAGCCTCACCTCTGTTCTTGGGAAGATCATGGAGCAGATCCTTCTAGAAGTTGTATTAAAACACTTGGAGGACAGGGAGGTGATTTGAGACAATCATCATGCCTTCACCAAGGACAAGGCCTGCCTGACCAACCCTAGAGCCTTCTATGGTGGGGTGACCACATCAGGGAACAAGGAAGGGCTACAGATGCCATTTATCTGGACTTCTGTAATGCCTTTGACACAGTCCCCCACAACATCCTTCTATCTAAATTGGAGGGAGATGGATTTGATGGGTGGACTGTCCAGTTGATAAGGAATTTATTGGATGGTTGAGTGGATAGTATTCAATGACTCAGTATGGCAAGTGGCAAGTGGTGACCCACAGAGGTCTGTACTGGGACCAGTACTGTTTAATGTCTTCATCAGTGACATAAACTTGGTGAGTGCACCCTCAGCAAGCTTACAGAAAACACCAAGTTGTGTGGTGTGGTTGATGTACCTGAAGGACAAAATGCCATCCAGAAGGACCTGGACAAGCTTGAGAAGTGGGCCAGTGGGAACTTCAGGGGGTTCAAAAAAACCCAGTGCCAAGTTCTGTACCTGAGTCCAGGTAATCGCCAGTATCAATACAGACTGGGGAATGAATGGACTGAGAGCAACCCTGCCAAGAAGAAATTGAGGATGCTGGTGAATAAAAGGCTGGACATGACCCGGCAATGTGCACTTGCAGCCCAGAAAGCCAAACGTGTCCTGGGCTGCATTTAAAATAGAGTGCCATTAGGTCAGGGGAGGTGATTCTGCTCCTCTGCTCTCGTCTCGAGACCCACACTTAGAGTGCTGCATCCTGTTCAAGAAGAACATGGATCTGTTCTAACAGATCCAGAGGAGGGCCACAAAGATGGTCAAAAGGATGGAACACCTCTCCTACAGGAAAGACTGAAAGAGGGGGGGGCTGTTCATCCTGGAGAAGAGAAGGCTCCAGTGTGACCTTATTGCAGCTTTTCAGTGTGTGAAAGGGGGCCTATAAGAATGATCGGGACTAACTATTTAGCAAGAGCTGTTGTAATAGGACAAGGGGTAATAATTTTAAACTGAAAGAGGATTGATTCAGATTAGGAATCTGAAGCTAGGAAGAAGTTTTTTCACACTGAAGGTGCTAAAGCCTTGGCACAGCTTTCTCAGAGAGGCAGTGGATGCCCCTTCCCTGGAAACATTCAAGGTCGTGTTAGTCTGAGCAATCTGATCTAGTAGAAGATGTCCCCGCTTATTGCAGTGGAGTTGACCTAAATGACATTTAAAGCTCCCTTCCAACCCCAACTATTCTATAATTCTATGATTTAATTACTTTCTTAGCTCTGGATTTTAATTATTAATTAAACTGATATGAAAAACAGGTGATTATGAGTGCCAGGGGAAAAGGTATTTAATTTGGATATCCTTTGTTGCATGAACTATCTACTGCAAGTACTTCAGTAACAATTAAAAGTTTTTTCTTATGAGTTTGGGCACACATAATGAGTTTAGTTGAAAAAAGGAAGACATACTCGTCCTCAATTTTTAAGAAGTATTGAGGATAGTCATACAACCTATCACTAGCTACATAATTTGATTTCCTAAATAAACAGGCTAGTCTCCATAAACTGCTTAGATATTCAGTGCAGAAAATTATTCTGTTCCATAGAGCTGTTCAAATGTGAAGCTTGATGTCACTGCTTTAAATCATCTTTTATAGGAGCCACTTTTGCTGTCTTGACTTGCCTCGTAGCATATCATCTAAAGTAGGTGCCTAAATTTAGGTGATACAAATTTATCCCACTTTTTCCATTCTATATATAAACAGAAGGGACAATACAATTAGGACCCTAATTTCAGAGGCTGAAAATTTAAGATAGAACTGATAGCAACAAACATTGGATTTTTCTCTACCAAAAAGTAAGAAAAAATAAGTTTATAATGAATTTGGGCAGGTCAAAGAAATAAAACTAGCAAACATAAATATTGAAGGAGCAAATGTGAACAATCCAAAATGTATAGGTCCTGTGAAAATTTGCTTTAAAAGCAACCAAATTATGAATCTTTCAGATATATATATCACAAAGGTGTCATATAAAACTTGGCAAAAGTAACTGAAAGCAGAAGAGGTCTTGTTCTGTCCTAGATTAATGGAGCCTATTAATGTCAGTTACATAATATTTGTCTAGACCTGGATAGCTCTTATTAATGGAGTTGATTTAAAATTTAGAGAAAGGATAACCTTAAGAGATGGAAGGTCACTTGAAGAGCTGCCTTGAAATAAAATTGGTGATAACTGCAAATTTATCTTTACTTTTGAGCATGGACCTTCCTGAAGAATTAAACAGAGTTTCATTAATGTGTCGCCTGTAGTGAGTTTTCTTCATTGCTTTTAGAGTCCAACTTAATCATTCATAAAGGGACAAGGTTGGATGTGGATAGGTTTCATTTAGATTATTTTTTTATAGGACATTAGCAACCTAGGTTTCAGGGTCATCAAGAACATAAAAAATTACTTAGTTAAATTGGGCTTTCTTTGTTTTTCATTTTGCCCCTTACTGGTTTTACTGGAAACTGTATCTCCAGAACACGATGAATTCTGTAGGCATCTAAATAATGAAAATCAGAAGGGACTAAGATACTGGTTCTTGGGTCTAAATCAGCTGTACTTAAGTTTCTCTTTGCCAAAAAATGTCAAACAAACACGATGTGATTCTTGGGGTGGTCCTGTGCCAGGCCATAAGTCGGACTTCAATGATCCTTATGGATCCATTCCAATTCAGCATATTCTAGAGTTCTATGACTTTGTCCTATGTCTGTGATTCAAATTTAGAGGTAAGGAAAGGTAGAAGTACTTGTAGTTATTATTAATATGTTTATACTGTTAAAATAAATGGTACCAGGTCATGAAGCTAATTGGCATGGTCTAGCTAATTCCACACTTTTAAATTCTTTTCATCCACCAAAGCAGGGTGTCTGCATTCAAACTGCCTATTACAAACTATTTCCAATACTGCTAAAATCCCAGACTCTCCATCGGAATTGTTTGGAAAGCTCTAGTTATCCCAGGACATGTCATGCTAGTTAGTCCTTGTCAAGGACTACAAGGTTTTAAGAAATATGTAGGGATTACACAAATCTGAACGGTTTTAAGTAAATACCACTACTGAAGCTTGGGTGCAAAGTGTCTATGTAACCTGTGTTGATGATGAAACACACAGCATCTACGCACCATACCTTTTGATTCTGCTTGGTATAATTTATTATAATACTCTAGAAATTTGAAAGCGCTTTATTCTGTGTTATCGGTAGGCAGGTAAACCATGGACTCAGTTTTCAAAAAACACACACTGCTGGATTGTTCTTTATTTTTTATTAAAGCAAATTAGGTAATTCTATCTCTATATAGGTAAAAATACTTGCAAGGTTTTTTAATTTTGTTTCCTGGATTTTTTTTTTCAAAACTAAAACCTTTATCACAATTATTTCAGGGAATTTGTGTCTGACAGGTGACATCTCAAGGGAAGGGCAAACATCATTTCTGTTAATGAATAAAGATAGAGAAGTTGGACAGTTAGAGAC